CTAAGACTACCACTTATTGTAACTGTAAAATAACCTATGAAAATATTTTAACAATAATTAATTAGCATTTTTTTTTTTAATTTATTTTAGTTTTATAAATTTATTTTTGTAATTAAATATTAATAAATTTAATATGTTATATACCACTAGAATAAAATTTCTAAAACAAAAAAAAAAAAGTTTTCACTTACTATGCCGAACCCTGTACAAATCCAAGATCACCGCTAAAAAAAGGAAAAGGAACATTAGTAAAGTTCCTAAAACAAAAACAAAAACAAATAAAAATAAAAATAAATTACTAACCATTTAAACGAAAGCCGAACCCTTCACCTTGTCAAAATCCAAGACCACCACTAAGGAAAAAAAAAAGAAAAGGAGCATTAACAAAATTCCTTAAACAAAAAAAATAAAAAAAAATAAAAATAAATCACTTACCATTAAACGAAAGCTGAACCCTTCACCTTGTCAAAATTCAAGACCACCGCTAAAGAAAAAAAAAAGAAATATTAATAAAGTTCTTAAAACAAAAAAAAATAAAAAACAAGTTTACTCATCATTTAAACAAAAGCTGAACCCTCCTCCACCTTGTCAAAAACCAACACTGCTAAAAAAAAAAGAAAAGGAACATTAATAAGTTCCTAAAAAAAAAAAAAAATAAAATAAAAAAAATCACTTACCATTAAACGAAAGCTGAATCCTCACCTTCCCAAAATCCATTTTAATGAAAGTATTAATCAACAAATTTGGCAACAATTTTTCCAGCTGTTTCCCCCTTTTCTATTGCAAAGAATATTGCTTGTATTCTTTATTTTGACAATGATCAACATTCGCAATTTATGAGTCAATCGCGCATTTTATTTTTAGTATCACTTCACCTCCTTTGTTTATTTCACAAAAACCGATTTATCTCAAAAACTACTATAAGGTAGTTTCCTTCCTTTCTATTGCAAAGGGCCCAAATGTTGTCAAAATCACTACAGCAAGTTTCTTTAATATTTTTGAGTCTTGTGATCACATTATTAACCATTGATAAAATTTTCTGCATTTCAGAAGCATATCTAACATCACGTGAATTGATCTTTTTGATTTCTCTAATAAGTTTATTATTAAGATCATTATTGATTCTGCTGAGCTTCACAGTAAAAGTAAAATTAACTTCAGAAAGACGTGCAAAAAGTTTGTTGATGATTTTAGTGTTAACTTCTGCACTAAATTTTTTGTAAACATCATTAAGGATTCTTTCGATTTCTACAGTAATACTTCCATCACGTGCCTTATTTTTTTCAATTTCTGCGAAAAGATTAACATTAATTTCAGATATACACATAGAAAACTCATTAGCAATTTTATTATCATGTGTAAGAGGATAATTGGAAAATTAGTTTCTGATAACATAAATCAAAAAATAGGCGTTAAGAAGAATAGAAGATAGAAAGTCTTCAAAGATATATCATAAGCCATTGTTTTGCAAGACAAGTGCAGACATATTTTTAGAATGAAGTAGAAAAAAAAATATGTTCAGGTATATTAGATCACAGGTAGTTTTGCATAATTTTTTATGATTTATTAGTATGATTTATCGCTAGTGAAACTAAAGGTGAATTCACATCCTTTTTATACATTTTACAGTCAGTTTCATAGCAAAGATCCCAAAAGAATCACCCATTAATGCTAGTATAATTAGAAGAAAAAACTTGTGTTGAAATAATACAGGCCTAGAATAATTGTGAAAATGATATCATATATATACCCTTATGTTTGAAAAAAGAAAATTATCAAGATTCTGTCTGGCGTTTATACCTAAAGATGAAAAAAGTTAGTATTATTCCCGTAACCCATATTCTACAATATATTCAAATAATGAAATAATAATATTATTTTTCATAAATGCTTAGCTGTAAAACCTTATGCAAGAGAAAAGTTTTTTATTAATAAAAAATATTGAAATATTCGTTAGATAGCTTTGTTATTATGTGAGTATAGTATATAAATAAGCTATATTATAAAGTACTATTCTCTTATTATATTTTATCTAAAGAAAGAGTTAAGGAAGAACTAGATATCTATCTAAATTTTTTTTCTCACTTTGAATATATAAGAAGGTAGGACTTCTTTTATTTGTAATACAGTTTGGTATAAAAAACCTTTATTATTATAGGTAAATGTAAATCAAAATATGAAGTCTGTTAGAAGGAAATAGACAGGGTATTTATGAAAAATATCAGACAGATCTGCATGAATATTTTTGCGAAAAAATTAGCTATTTTAAGAATAAAATTATCAGGAGCAATAACGTAAATTTTCTGATAACCTATGATCATCGATAAGTGGACTAATTTAGATGAAAAAAAAAGGAGATGCATGTGTTAATATTCTTGATTATGTGAATGATTTATAATAATGCTCTAGTCTTTTTTTGAATATAGTATACTACTTATTTATGAGCTAATAAAACTGCTAAAAAATCATAATAATAATATATACATTTTCATTTCATTCTAACAACACTGCGCATTAAAAATTTAATCTGATTAAATTAGATGAAATAAAAATTATATATCATTTATTGTGTACTATGCTCCTGCAAAAAATTTAGAATAAAGAGTTTTCAAAAACTAATTAATGTGTGATTAACCATACATGTAATTGATTGTGCTAATAAAATTAGAATAATAACAGCATTTATTCAGAGATCTGTAAATCATTGATTCTAATCAGTTCTATTTTTATTTTTAAATTTCTTTTTAATAACGTCCAGTCTTACAATCTGCAAAACATAAATCAGGAATATAATTTTTTTATTAGTAATTCAGAATTGCGTAATGAGTAAGATAGAACATACCAGAACTTTAGGAAAAGTTCATTACTATAGCAATATAAAATATTGCTCTTAGTTAGGTTTATTAATAGATTCTACAACTGCGAATGCTGATGACTTACTACTGTACATAGAATATTCTGCAAATATAATTCATATAAGCCAGTGGCATATTATTGTAAAAAAGATATTGTACTACTATGCATTTTAGGTGATTGATTTTATATGATCAGTCTAAAAGTGATCTAAACCACAATTGCAAACTTGAGTTTATTGCTTAAAGTGAAGCAAATAAAACAATATTCTGTTTTATACCATTCACCATGTAATCCATAATTCTCATATTTTCCATTGCAAATAGGATATGGTGAGCTTCACGGTTGAGGTGATGCAAAATTATAATTATCAATCTCTCTAAAACTATTTTAGAATTTCAGATATATGAAATGTTCTAGGATAGTCTTGATAATTAATTCTGAATCAGGTTTAGCTTTGAAAGTAATAGATCCATTTTCTTCACATTGCTCAGAAAAAGATAAATAGGATGCTTTATTTTCTGGTTTCAAATTTATAAGAAGACTGACTTCTAATGCATGCACTTCTTATAATTGCCATAACTTATATCCAGTTTCTTTTTTATATTTTTTGTATAGGTTGGTCTGAATTCTATCTGTTAAAACGCTTGGTAATCCATTTAATTTAACATACCAATTCAGATATTTGGGAGTTAATATTTTATCAGACTTAGTTATATTACTTTTTTTATAGTTGCAAATCAATCTAATTAGATAATAGTTGACATGTGTAAAAAAAAATATCACATAAAGTATCAGTTAGCAAATATAATCACAAAGTAACCTAACTATACAGCTATCTTAATTTCGCGCTGTTTACATTTAATAAAATAAGATCCAGTTTTATATCTACCTTCTATGTTTTCCTTATCATCATGATCTAAACTGCATAACGAACATGATGTTTCATCAGTAATACCATAATAATTGAAATTTTTGCTATTAAATTCTTTATATAAATTAAGATATTGATCTAATATTTTTTATAAAAATAGAATCAGTTATAGGTTGAATTAGATTGATATGCAGATAATATATTTGCTAAAATACTTATCTCAGCCTTAATTTGATCATTCTCTTGAGAAACAGTTTTTAAAGTTACATAACTCTGATTGTAAAGAATCTTCACAGTTTCATTGTATGAACTTATTACTAAATTTACATAATCTATTATATTTTAGATTTATTGGTAATTGAGACTCGAAATAGCATCTGCGCTATATAAGAGACCTGTTTAATTTTCTCTAAACCTAATGTATTAAATAATTTATATAATTTTCTAGCTCCAAGGATTTTTTGATGCAAATTCACATCTGTTATTTCAGGTAGATGCTGTTTGATTTCTTGATATACCATAGATGTTGCGGTTTTTTTCTTAACTCTACCAGCAACAAGGTTATCAATCCTTTTGTCATATTTTTCTATAAAGTAGCATCAGTATAAAATTGCTTCTTGATCAAGCTTATTAGCTTTCTTGAACATGCAAATTATATTTTGTGTAGTATCTAAAGATAGATCCTGTTTTTCTAAAGTTCAATCTGATGTAGTTGTATGTACAGATGACAATAACAGTTGCTTTAACTCCTATTTTACAATTATATTTTTATCCAACTTGATAATAACTTCATTATGCTGATTAGATTTAAGTTCCTCTATGTCACATGACTCTGATCATGAAAAATCTTCACAGTTTTTAAGATTACATGTTAATTTGACTTATGATTACTTTGATAAGATACAAAATGCAGAGCTTATACTCTCAGAACTAGTCTCATAAGATTGTGATAAGTCTTGCTCATCTTGATCTGAAGTTAACATGTTTGTGATCTCAGGAATTTTAGTCACATTCTGAGAAATTACAAGTGCCTCTTGATCTTTCTGCTTTTTTTTCTGCCTCTTCTCTCTAATCTCATTGCTAATGCTTTTCTTATACACCTTATCCAAATAATTGATCATTTTCTCATTATTACTATCAAGATCACTAAGTACTTATCCTACTTTATTATTGAGTTAGTCTATTACAGAATCGGGTATATCAACAGTTAGTACTATTACTACTAGCATCGCTTCTTTATCATTTTGTATCTAACCAAATGATAATACTATCCTATCTATTATTAAATCCTGTTCTAATAATGCAAGTCTAGCCTCAAGTTCTCTGACTCTAGACTTGAGTTCAGCATTCTTAGAATCACACCTTGCATTCTTTTCAATAATTTGCTTTAGCTTCACGTTCTCAGCCTCAACCTCAGCAAACTTTAGTAACTTCTCTCTAAGTTCAGAAAGCTTAGCATTTTCTTTTCTAAACTCTGCAATCTCAGTTAAGAGCTTGGCATTTAATTCTCTCAATGAATCAATGGATTGCATGTTCAATAATAATTTTTTTTATATAAGATGGAATAATTCAAAAGTTCATTAGCATAAATAAAAAACTATGACAAAATGTCACAATCAGAATTTCTAATTTCTTAATATAAAAAAATAAATTACAAGGTTCAGTAATACATAAACTTGTTTTACAAAGTGAAATAGAGTTTCTATATAATACCTACTGATGTTTCATTCATTTAAACTATCTATATACTAATATATCCTGAATAGAGTAAATTGATCATCAGTTATACAGTCAACTCTTGTTATAACGAACTCTATGTCCTAGACCTCAACTTTGTTATAAGGTTATAGTGAAGATTTTAAGAGATTTGATTGGCCAATTCGCTATAACAAGAGTATTTTTATTATATTTATTCAAAAAATTCGTTATATCAAGAGTTTGTTATATCAAGAGTTGACTGTACAGTCAGAAATAAATTAACAGTATTAGTTCTGTTTAATTCTAGATTGGATTGGATTGACTGAAAAAAAAAATATCCAATCAAACTTTAGTTACAATTAAGCATAAGTTGAATAGCTTGATCAGATCATATTATAATAATAAATATGATTGGTTGCTAAGCATAATATATTATGCGGATCAAGAAAATAAGTAGTACAAGGTCAAGAAGGTAATTTTTGCTGATCAGGAAGAAACTTATTTTCATGAATCAGTTTGATTGACCGTTCAAAAGGGACTGTCTTAAATAAGGAGAATAGTTACACAATTTAATAATTTTTTTTATACATTTTACAGTACTTTTTAATGATTTTTGCGTAACCTATTTCTGCCATAAAATGTAAGCAAATACATTAAACAAACTCGAAGTATCACACTGCTCTGCAATATATTTGTTTAATTCCCATTAATCCCACACTTTATATTGTTATTTAGTCATTAAAGATATATCTGAAATGAAGAAATGTACAGAATGTTAAACTTAATTTGACTAAATTTTGTTCGTTAAAAGAAGAAAAATAGAAGGAAATTGAGAATAATGACTTAGCAAAGATAACATGAAGTGAAGGTATTCTTTTATGTAACGTATGCTATATACGTTTTGTAGAAAATTCTTTAAAAAAAGGTCATAAGAGAGTAAAAAATATAGATGAACAAGCTACAGGTGAAAATATTATGAACAAGAAGGTAAGTATGAAGGTTGACTTTTACTGGAGCTATTAAAGTAATGGCAAAGATACTTTACAAAAGAGAATATTTTAAAAAAGAATAGTCTATATACTCGTTCGATGAAATGCGAAGGATATTTCAAGAAATCAAACTGAATTTGAAGGATTTTTTTGACCACTTTATTTGACAGCTCGACCACGTGAATATAATGAACAAACGATAGACTGTATGAAAAAATTGATGGTTCTTATATGTTATTTACTCACATCACTAAATAATATAAAAATTTGTTCTTTTAAATTCGATCTTGGATTTTATTTGGATTTAGTAAGTACAAGTAATGAAGACCTGAATACAATGGCTAATCTTAGTATGTCTACAATATCGAGATCAATAAATTGCAAAAGAAAAGAATGTCTAATGTGATGTGTATAGAGAATATGTAGAGAAGGCTCTTGCAAATCATTCAGAGAATTCATTTGTTCTGAACATAAATAATTATCATAATATTTATTTTTAAAGATAACCTGATACTATTAGTACGTCTTAGGCAGCGCATATGGTAACGATTATGGTGAATCTGTATCTAATACCTGCAATACCGCAAAATAGAGCAATTAATTTAAAGATTGTTGATGCTAAATTGATCACTAGACATCTTGAAGAATGATTCATCGTAAAGTTAGGTGTTTTATATCAAGATCGTAAGCAGAATAGTATAGGAGTAAATTGCCCTGATGATGAGGTTATAGACAGATTGATGATACATAGTTACAATAATAGACTAGTGGGAAAAAAGGGTAATCGGCATATACAAAATTTTATTCTCATCGATTTTATTGAAAATAACTTGAAAGGTATAAGAGGATATATGAAACTCTTCAAATTGTATATAATTAAGAGCTAATGCAAGAGTACCTTTCCAATCACGTTATTCCTATTGTTACAGATTAGCCTGAATAGTTCTACATTCGTAAAGCTATTGCGTAATATCTTCTCATTAATAAAGAAACTGTTCCTTATTTTATTGTATTCTTTTTGCCTATGATGGGTCCTTTTCATGTATCGCTAAATGGTTGTGAGTTTATTTTTCTATAGAACTCTTTTTTTTCAACAACATCTATAAAAGCATATTTGATGCGAATAAGGATCTTGGTAAAAAACTGCAACTATAGAAAATCGACTTAATTTTCTATATCATGTGCATGGCATGATTTGATATATCTGAGGTTATTTATTTGAAAATTGGTTATACAAGCAAAAATATTAAATTTTTATATTTAACAGATCTATTGAATAATTTGGTTCCCTTAGTTCTTGACGTTTATGCAGTACACTATTGAGAAGGTGATTGATCTACTTATTAAGAAGCTTGTATGCATTGCTGGAGTAATCTATTTTTTCAGTTTAATTAGAGGAATTATAAATGTGACCCCTTAATGTTTTTCTCTGATGTTTTTTATTGAATGGAAACCAATTATCCAATTTTTAATATGATTACTAATAATCTTGATTCTCTAAATGATTGTTTTGTCGAACTTGTTTACAATATTATATAACAATATACCGCTAAGTTTTCCATAGCTCAATAATTGCAGAAAGAAGAACATTTCATCTTTCAGCAGCGAGATGAAAATGAATTTAGATAACATTTTGTAAATGCCGTTAAATATTTATATACACTGAAGCAATTGAATACTCTTTTCTAGAAGTATGCTATATAACTTTTGAACATATTTACGAAAATATACCAAGCGCATCATATACATCCTTCAGTTATTAAATCATTATCTAACGGTATTAATACATATAAATTGCCTTCTTTAGGTAATGAAGTGATCGATCGTTATTTTCTGAAGGAGTTTGTTACTTTTAGAAAATCAAACACCACTATTCTTTATAATTATTTGTATTGTGGATATATTAATAATTTGATTGATGGTATTATTCTCGCATGTAGGCATAGTTATCATAACCATTGTCTATAAAGATGCTAATTTAAATGTTTGATATATTTAGGGTATCTTTAAAACGAGGTCAAGAAAAATGTCAATGCTCTTATAACCAGTTTTACAAAAAGATTAGATGAATAAGAATCTGTTAAAGAAGATACTGGAAAAGATACAGCTAAAGATAATTTGAATGATGTAGATGAGACAAAGGATGATATTATAAGAATGGAAAATTTGTTAGAACATGCAAAAGAATCATTTTTAAAATTGTAAAATTTTTATATATTTATATATTTTGAAAATATATTTTATTATTTTATTATTACGTTAATTACGATATGCATAATAAATATGTTTTTAAGATTTAATTTCTTGATTAACTAATAATTTTAATATGATAGGCTTTTTAAATTACGTGATTTCATTTCAAAAATCACAATTTCGATTGGTTGATCAATGCATCGCCTCCTTATTAAATTTGGAATTTTGTGTAACAGAAAACAGGACTGACCGCTAATTGCATCAGCAACCAATCATCTAAGGGCACAAATTTGCGATCAATCCAGTCCAATCTAGAATTGAACAGGGCTAAAAACGCCATTAGAGTAATGTATTCATGACTAATTGTAGAACGAGTGATGGAAGAACAATACATCTTACTAAGGATGTTTAAGTTATCGGATGAGGCAAAGTTTCTCCCTTTTAAAGGAAAGCACAAAATAATTACAAAGCTAATTAGCAAAGATTATTTTTTTCTAGTTATGGAAATATATAAAAATCTTGTCAAAGAGAAGAAACCGTTCCGGTATATTTATGAGTATATTATTTTTTTTTTTAAATAACTGCTGACTAAAATTTTTGTAAAATACTTCAGAAGGATCAGACTGATGAAACAGCGATATTTACAACAACTGAACGGGGATCCACGATGTTTAAAAGTGGAAATGGATGATGCGAAGATACCGGCAATCTCAATGGTGGACGGCCTATGCATTTTTTACTCGATAAACATAGACTAAGTTCCGAGAAATCTCGAGAAACAAATAAGTTATTTACTCAAATATCTAAGACAACTGTCAGATTGGATAACGCTCCTAGAGAGGAATCCTGTATATATCCCCACAGCATTAATAATTTCTTGGAAGAGAGACCGTCAGAGGGCAAAGAAGATTGCATTCAGAGCATCATTGGTAGGTTACCCAGAAACCAAACTAAAAATGTTAGGAATTTGACAAGATTTCGACTTAAAGAACTATCGCATGTTTCCACAGGATGAGAATGGGAATTTGATGACACAAAAAAAACTCTGGGATTACGGCAACAGTGCAGAAACCAATTCGTGGCTCCAGTTATCCCAGTAGAGGTAGGACCTTTCAATAAGAACACACACAATTTCAACAGTAATACAACAAACAATGGAATTATGCCCCAATTGTCAGAAGATGATGAATTACAATGTGAAAAAAAAGATTTGCCTGAACTTCTTTCCTTGTTGAAAGATAAATATATGTATCATGGTGAAACAAACAAAAATATTCTATATGATTATGAGATTGAGAGATTTGCCAAACTTTATTGTATTACCAATTTTTACCTTGTACTTTTATGTTATGATTCAATTTTCTGGTTAAAGACCCTGATGGCGTTATTTACATGTAGTCTCATTTAGATAGTATGATGATATGTGAAGAACATGATATGAAAGAGGCCCTGATTAACTTTCTTTTTCATGAGAAAAATCTTTACTACATTGAAGAATACACTCTTAGATTGATACCAGTAAAAAAAGCTAAAGAAGAAGCTAAAAAATGGTATGAAGAAAATAAACATACCACAACTAAAATTGTAATAACTGATGAATTACTAAAACCATTAGAAGAAAAAAAGAATGAATTCAATAAAGGTGTGAAACAAAAGAAGAAAAAATAAACCTTAATTGTTTTCACTTTCTCAAATGATGTAGAAATTATTTGATTCATTTATCATTTATTTTAGTCATTTATAGTGTTTGTTTTATTTAGCTTAATGAATTTTTTTAATTAATGTAAATAAAGAGATGCTAATTTGCAGTGATTCTTTTTACAATTAAGAAAAATTAAGTGAAATATGTATATAATATGCTTTCAAGGGAGTATCCTGTGCCATACTAATTGCTAACTATTGCTAATATGCTAACTACGAGATTCTCAGATTTTCAATCTCGCTCACTATGCTTATATCTCAGATTTGTAAATTCCGGAGTTAGCAAGAGATAAAAAATAAAATAGTTCTGCAGGAATCATTCTTACCGTTATACTTCATTTTTATAATATACAATACCACTCTACGTTGTAATCAAAAGATTCATTCTCAGCGTGTTATAGCGGCATGTAATAATTTATATTTTTATATATTGTGCCTGGTTTTCTTTTTCAATATCATTGTCATACAACCATGAAGATCTGAATTAAAAAAATCATGTGCGCTGATCACTTTTGCCAAGAAAAAAAATTTATTAATACATGCAAAAATAAATACAAAGTTCAGGACGTAGCCTGTGATACATGATGTCTATGCTAATGTCTAATCCTACAGTCTAACTAACCATCTTACATTTACGTGACTTAGTAATTCGCCTCTTCTTCTTTACGAAATGTCTGTAAAATACATGACTATTAATTATAAGAAACTAGGATTATAGAAAACTACGATATAGGAATTTGTGAAATAGTGTGACCGGGTATCGATCCTAATGATTATAGATCTACAATTGTGTGGCGAAGTACAAATGTCGATAATATCAAACATATTTAATATGTCTAACATGTTTAATATAGCTAATATATCTAACATATCAGATATGTCTAACATAGTTAATATAATAGATATACAGACCCCGCCAAAAGTCTCTGAACGCTTTTGGCTCAATGTAAAACTTAAAATTTATTAATTTATTTATTAATTTACGATACGCTACACATTTGGTACTAAATAATTAGTTACTTGATTGGGCCTTTATTTGCTTCATCACAGCCTAAATTCGCTGTGATAAATCGCTTCAGCCGGCTTCGCTGTGAATCTTTAATTAAGGATGGTTGACTAGAACGAAGTCTCGAATAACGGTTCCAGTGTCATCCATTTTTTTTAAAGTTCTAAATGCTGTTAAAAATCCACAACTGATATTTGCGGCAATAAGCCGATAACTATCACTATGTTGACAGCAAAATTTATACTGCCGCGTTGTTTTTTGAACTTTTCGTAGTTTTCAGAAGGTAAAATTTAATTTTGGTTAAAAATCAAAATAAACAAACCAAACACGCTTTTATTTAGTTTTGATTCAAGCAAACAAGATCAGGTACATTACATGACCGCAGTATTATACAATCCTATGATGTATTCAGTATAAAATAGCCAAAAGATGACGTTCAGAGACTTTTGGCGGGGGTCTGTAGTTAATATAGTTGATATATTAGATATATCAAAATATGTAATAGAATAGATATAAATACAACCTCTTTTGTCGATTAGAAAGACAAGACTGGTGGCTGTATAGAACCTTTCTCCTATAAAAGATAGCGCAACACTACTCTCCACCTCGTGTATCTCTGTTTCTTATTTCTTTTTTCTTATTTCTTTCATATATCATTATCTTATTATTTTCTTCTACTTCAATAAAGTATTTCTTATTTCTTATCTAAAACTTTTCTTGAACTTGCTGTAATAACTCTTCACTTGTGATTGAAGCCGCTCGCATCTGATAAACTTGATTTAATACCATAAACTGGTAGCGACTTAGCTAAGATTATTGTAAATTAACTGGGATTATTACGTAGACTATAAAAGAGTCAACCTTCTGACACTGCGTCTAACAGTTATAATCTGAAAGATTACACGTTAACAATAGTTAAATTCTTACACAATATATCCATTTAACAATTGAGATAATTTGAGCTGTTCCTCGTCGAAAAGCTTTCTCTTCTTTTTTATATCCTCCCAGCTTGCCATCCTGAAGTCAATCAAGTAGATATTATCATTATCATTAATTAGGATGTTTTCCTCCTGAATATTATTATGAAAGATACCATATTTATAGATTGCTTCCAATCCCTTAATAACCCTTGACTTTTGCTGTTCCGTTATGTTTTAGTCGCTTAACATAATGCTAATAATGGTTAAGCTGATAACGAAGCTCATGCTTCCTCCATAATATCTATAACAGACTAGCTTTAGAATATACTTGCCTTGAATATCAGCTAGATCTTTGTATATCTCTACATCTTTCTGTATTTCTTCCAGAATATACGATAGGACCTCAGATAGTTTGCACTCTTCAAAGCAATTATATCACTACAAAATTCGCATAAGAGTATTTTTCCACTTTGACTTTCACCTAGTATACTCTTAAACTTGAAGTCTGAGAAGCTATAATTGTTCTATTTAACAGAAATGTTTGAAGGCAATTGTTGACTTGCAGAGGTGTTGGAAGTCTGATTATTATTTAATGAGAAATTGGAAGATGATTTTGAATGAGACCAATGGGTACGTGAATTATTGTTCCCTTGAGCCAGCACAAGTATTTAGGGTTTACGTCAAGTTAGATAAGTATATGTCTTGAGTACAGGTGATAATTCAGATTGAAGTGAGAGGATTCCTGAAATCTAGAGATCTATATGCTCTTGACGTAGGAACCAGTGATTATCATAGGTGGTAAGAATGCCATATCTAAGTTTGTTTTCTCTCATATAATTATAGATTTGTTGAACTACATCCTTGCCTTTGCTCGTCTGATAAAATTCGAAAAATGTCTTTTCGCTTATATCTTCTAAAACCTAAAATATGTTTTCTTTTTGCCTTAATCACCAAAATCAATAATTTCACGAGATGACATTTGAAATCTGATATGTCAGTGGCTTCAGTAGGTCATTTTGAATATATGCAGTCTGATCCTGTAAGGTTATCCAATATCATATATATATTGAAATTTATGGCATTACGAACATTCTCTTCATCGACTATAACAAATCTATCATCAAATCTCAGCCTCTCAAATATTGGCTGTTGATCAAAATGAAAGCTATTCATTTGTTCGAAAAAGTCTCCTAAAGTTACACACTTACCGGTAGGTCACCTATAGCCTTAATAGTGGTCTTTGAGATAACACAGTTCGTAGAATATGTTATTGATGGCAAAATACACAACAATGTCTCTTTCAAGCTGAGAGCTGAAAATGAAAACAAGTTAAAATTGTGAAGGCAAATTAGCTGTTAGCCATTAAGGCGCTTCGCAGGCACTTTACACAGACTGTATTAGACATTTACATAGCAATTTTATAATAATGTGAATATGTTTTTTAGAAGGTGAAGTAAGCCAGTAGTCTTCTATATCATTTATTGCCAATAGCTCGTCACTATTCTCAAGTATAAGATTCTGTAACTAATCGTTCTGATTATCAGGGATCGTTACTTTCCATAGCTTGAGTTTGTCTACAGGAAAATTATCAAACTCTGATGTTTTTTTTACCTTAATAGTATCCTTGAGGTCACCAATAAGACTACTCCCTTCTATATAAACAGGGAAGGCGTTTGCAATCATATTTCCTTTGATGAGACATAGTAAAGTGATAGACATATTTTCAGCTTATATAGTATTTTTTGCGAAATATTATTGGCTCAAAGTACAGTATATGAGGACAAGAGCAAAAAAAATTTTATTTGCAAAAAAAATACTATTTCACAAGCCTGCCATATGATCGGCCATATTGTAATGATCGCCTAATCACTGCATCTCACTAACTGTAAAGACTCTTCTTACTTATCATCTGACATTTTTTATATAGGTTAGATTAGTTCAGATAAAAATGTTAGATCTATAGTTCTGCCTGGACTGCACCATTACACATAACTCATTTCTCATATACAATATAATAATAATACTTTATTTATAAAATAAAACGTTGCCAGAACCTGGCTTATAATACATAAAAATTGCGAATATTTTGCTTCACATGATGTGAATAAAAAATACTATTTTTTAACAAGAGTATCTCCTAAATTTACTCTTGCTTTTCGATCATCTGTTACCAAAGATAATAATAGTAAGAACAACGCTTAATGAATTTCAGCTATAACGATATACAAAACGCCTTTCAGCTAAATTACTCATACAGCTTCTTAATGTAGTTCTCAAACTTCAATGCTAACCTCAATCCCATTCTGAATTCTCTAAATTCCTGTCTAGTTAACTTGAGAAATAAATGACCAGTAATATTTTTCCTCTCAAGTCTTGTAAAAAACCATCACCAAGTTCTATATGACTTAATTCAGAATCTTCTTGCAAAAAATTGATAAGTCTTTCTGTTTCATATTCTTCTAACCTCTCAGCTATAATGAAGCTAAAAAACATTTTGTTTTCCTAAATACAAGGCCTATAATGAGAAAACTCACTCCTATATATACATAATTTAGGACATATACATATTTTATTTTCTTTAAAATAGTTTTTTGTGGAAAGTTAACTGAACTTTCACATACTCCTACATGTTTTATATAATACTAGAAAAAAGATAAGGAGTAATTAGCATTGTTATATAATGTTAAGAGTTCCTTGAAAGTACATACTGTTAACGTGTAATCCTTGCGAATTACGACAGTTAGACGGGGTGTTTGAGTGGTGATTCTTTTAAGTTTACGTAGCAATTTAATCTTAGTTTAACTCAAGTTTATATAATTTACACGACAGTGTACTTTCGACAAG